AAGTATGAAAGACATCGTCAGAATAGTCCATCTGCCATCAGTGGTTCAACCGTAACGTTATGAAGCAACGAGAATACTTTTTGTACGCGAAGAAAACAAATATAACGACTTTATTCAACAATTTGTCTCCTCTGTGTCTCTTTGCATCACCGTAGCACCAATTTGGAGAATATCCGCTGAACGCAAACTGTGTACGCTATTCTGTGTCAGCCGCGACACAAGGATACGTTTTCTACGTGTGTTTACGAGATTTGAACGAAAACAGCGTATCCGTGCAGCGCTGACACAGAATAGCGTACGCTGCTTGCGTTCAGCGGATATTCTCCAAAATGGCACTACGGTGCTGCGGAGAGACACAGAGGAGACGAATTGTTGAATGAAGTCGTTATTTTTTTTTCTTTTGCGCACAAAAAGTATTCTCGTAGATTCGTATAATTGCTGGACAAAATTTTCATTTTGGGGTGGAGTAACCCTTTAAGGGTACGAATTACTACTCTAAGGTACTAATATATTACTATTAGGGGTTAAAAAAAAAGGTACAAATATGTTCTTTTAAGAGTACTGCTACAGTGTCAAGCTGTTGTACCCCAAAAGGTAGTTTTGGCCCCTTTTTTTCTGTGTGGCCTGGATGAGTGTGAGATTTCCCGGTCTGAAATTGCGTCCCAGTCCGGCCCTGCTTCAAACATTTTAGATTCTAAAAACTAAATCTATAAAAAAATTATGCTAATTTTGAAACTGTAATGGGGTGTCAGTTTTCAGGAATTTTCACAAACAGTGGTCAATTAAAATAAATGGTCAATAAATTGTTAACATTACCATAAAACAGATGTGGAGGTGGAAGAAGGACTTTAAACACTATATTCTTATGATATGCAATTATTGGCATTAGTTAATATCCTCTCAATTTTAATACATTTAGTCTTTCTTCATTCAGATTTCACTTTGTTAATTCTAAAATACTTATATGAATGTAGGTCCAATAATCATTCTTAGTTTGAATAAAGTGCTTAAACTATATCATTACAATAGGAGCATACCTGCATATTTACTCTATTAATGACAATTAATCAAATTAAATAGTCACAAACATCTCTAATCGATGAGGAAGTGTTTCTTGACAAGTCTTTTCAGGTTGTGTTTGGAGGGCATTTCTCAGACCCCAGGCTGTGTAAGCTTATTACCTGCTTCTCTTTTCAGCAACTTCAATCCAGGTACAATCTTTTCCTTTTGGGTCTCCCACATTTTTAAATGAAAAACTCTTTTTATTTGTTTTCCCTTTATTAAACTGAAATGACTTTTTTTCACCAGATCAGCCAGGGATGCTGTGCAGTTTTAAGATCTCCACAGCTTGGTCATGTGCATGGTGCCTCAACCCACAGGCTGATAAAACCTTCAGCACTGGTGAGTTTTTGTATGCGTTTCTGCAATATGCTGTTGGAAAGAAAATTATGCTCGCCATAGCTACATTTCTTTGACCAATAATATGGTAAAAACAGTAATGCAAAATATTATTACAATTTACAGTTTATATATATATTATGTTTTTATATATATATCTATTATGTTTATATATAGGCCTTTCTCGACAAGTGATTGTGACGGATGCTGTGACTGGAAGCAGAGCGACATACCTCGCAGGCAGTGATGTTCTAGCTCAACAGTTTGCCCTGAGAGTGAGAAAAGAACAATGATTTTTCATCCCAAGCAACCCTGAAGTCACGGCCATGGCACAGTGGTAGTGCACATGCTTGTGGTCTAACCTGCATCATGTCTGTCTCTTTCTGTCGCATCCTACTTTACAGTCCCTCTCAATTTTACTCTCATTTAAAGTGCTCTGTCATTTTTACCTCATTCAAATGTTTTACAGAATTTAATTGTGTAATGCTGAATCCATACCACTAAATTTGAGAACAAGTCCAAGTCGACAACACACGAAAAAAGAGTGCACCCCCTTGAAATGCATGACCACTTTAAATACGAAGTTCATGCAAAAAAAAAATCCTTTTTTAAAGGGATAGTTCACCCAAAAATTAAAGTTCTGTCATTAATTACATAAATTCTCATTACGTTCCAAACCTGTAAGCCCTTTGTTCATCTTCGGAACACAAATTAAGATTTTTATTATAATTAAGAAATCCGAGAGCTCTCTGAACGTGCCTAGACAGCAACGCAACTGACACGTTCAAGACCCAGAAAGGTAGTAAGGACATCGTTAAAATAGTCCATGTGACATCAGTGGTTCAACCTTAATTTTACAAAGCTACGAGAATACTTTTTTGTGCAAAGAAAATAAAAATATCAACTTTATTCAACAATTTCTTCTCTTCCGTGTCGGTCTTCAAAGCGTGTTCACGAGAGTAGCACGACGTATGCATGTGGCGCTGCTGATGCTCTTAATAATAAGCTTTTGTAAATTTGATCAATCTTCTCACGTTTTTTTCTTTATGCATATGTGAGCAAAGATATGTGTGTGACACTTTGTGTCATGCGCTTTGTATTTTAGGCTCCCGTGCTGTTCAACGGCTGTCGCTCAGGAGAGATCTTCAGCATTGACCTGCGTCAGCGTGACAGGGGTCGCAGTCACGATTGGAAGACCAGCCGCTTCTTCCAGGAGTCAGCCATCACCTCGGTCCAACTGCTACAGGATGAGAACTACCTCCTCGCTGCTGACATGCTGGGCAAGGTCTGTCTATGATAAACAACTAAAATTACCACAGACCATCATGCTATTAATAACAATTTAGAGCATTGAATTATTAATTCATTTTTATTCTCCCTTCATGTCGTCGCTGAACAGATAAAGCTGTGGGACATCCGTGTCAAGCGGTCCGTCAAACAGTATGAAGGACACCACAATGAATATGCCTACCTACCCATTCATGTCAATGAGCCAGAAGGATTGCTGCTTGCTGGTATATCTTTTTTTAATTTAAACCATAGTTTCGGTTCAGTTCTATCGCAACACTTGTAACGCATCTAATTGTGTGCCGTTTGCAGTGGGTCAGGACTGCTACACCCGACTCTGGAGCCTCCATGACCGCCGTCTCCTCAGGACCATCCCCTCACCTCATCCTGCAGGGAAAGACTCGATCCCAAATGTGGTGTTTTCCTCCCAGCTGGGTGGTAGTAGAGGACTTCCTGGACTCCTTATGGCTGTCCATCATGATCTGTACTACTACTCTTACAACAAAGACTATCAGGAGGGTCTAACACTGGAGGGTCAGTGCTAACATTTGCCATCTAAAAACACAGGCTGCTGTGTGGTAAATACATAATTGTTATTGTGTCTTACTGACCAAAATGTTGCCATTTTACCGTTTGCCTTTAGTTTTTCCTTTTTAAGTAATATTCCAAATTAGACTGTGATGGATTCAGAATACTTCTTATCCGTTATATCATCAATAGATTAATTTTTGGAAAAGCTTATTAGATATAAGATCTAAATGATAGTCACTTGAAATATACCTCCTAAAAGTACAATTTCATGTTATGTTGTTTTTCTGGACATATTTTACTTGAAATGTGCTGGAACTTTTTGTAAAAAAAAACAAACAAAAAAAAATTGTGGAAACCATTCTTCAATTCAAAATAAATCCAAACTTTGTTTATCTGTATCTTTAGTTCGAATCCCAACATGAATTTAATGTTTTAACTGTTTTTGTCCATAAAATTAAAACATTGGACCCCATGGAATTTTCAATAAGAAAACAGTCCCTTTCAGTACAAATAGGCATTTACACATTTTTATATTTAAGCCACACTCTTCGAGGTACTCAAGTTTAATTTAATTGGCATACAAGGTGCAAATAACATAAAATGATATTCATGTTTCTTATGTCTGTGTCAGTCATGTTCGGTCATCCACACATAATGCCTCACTGAGCCTACGATAACCTGATTCTACATAATGAGTTGTTTGTTTGGCCAAGAAATTACATTTAAATGACAGTGATCAGAACCCATACCTGGGGCTAAATAAGAGCAACTACCATATGATAACATGAGATTTATGTGGATTGGCATCGCTTTTGACGGATAATGCAGAGCCACATCATTTGTGTGGTTTCATCATGGCTTTGTGTTAAGAGTCACTATGCAGTTTGATTCGGCAACAGTGGAAGTAATTAATTAAAAAGGTCAGTTTTTAAAAACGTCAAACAAAAACGTCCTGCTCGAGTACATGCATTTAAAATAAATGATAAAGAAGTCTTTCAATTATGCTTAACAACATCTGATAGTTTTGCATGATCATGCCAGATCTCTTTCATAACAGGCAGTAAATAATAGAGACAAATAGGAATTAATCTAAAATCTACACTAGAGTTTCTTGGAGGGTAAAGGAACGCAAAACAGTATGAACAACCTTGTGTTTTCAACAGGTAAAAGCAAATGAATCTTTCCTTAAACTGAAAATTGAGCAACACAACAGGATGGTAAATAATATTACTAATATTTGTGCACCGGTCTATGTATCATATAGAGGCCATATGTTAGCTGCCTTTACCCACAGGAAGGCCCATATAAGGATCTGCAGCCACGGAAATGGAAGGGACTTTTTTTTCATATTTTGCACCTTTGATCATGTTTAACACTTTTTTTTCAACCATGTTTAAACCCATTTTGCTGATTTTCCCAAAAATGCTCCTTCCAATGTTCCATCTGGGCCTGCCCACAGGTAACGTATTGCATGGTAGACAAAGGATTGTCGAGGGTTTGACATAGATTTATTTTCTTGCTGGATTTAACCTTTAAAAGAAGAAAATATGTAGGCCATTACATATATTAAACTGTGAACAGCTTATGTAGAGCTGAGGAGCATGACGTGAATGACGTGTTGGGTCAAAAAGCAGAGATGTTCCTCTCAAACAATCATTCATTGGTTCGAGAGCAGTGCTTTTTTCCCTTCCAACACGTCCTGAAGCGCTGTGGCCACATACGGGGGTGTCTTATTATGCGGAGTGATGTTCGGTTCTGCTAGAGCTCTCCAGATTTCTGGTTGCAGGTGATGCACACCCGCACAGGATGGTCCCAACCTCTGGAGGGCACGGCCCGGCGATCAGGGGAGCAGTCGTTACATACTCCTTGTCCACATGCACGGCAGTGATGAATAGAGAGACGGACATTAAACTCACGCTGGCACTGGTGGCAGCAACGGATGTCTTGGTCAGGGACCCAATATGCTGGACGGGCGGCGTCTTTTACCAGACCTAGTAAACGCATTTGGTAATTTATATACGCTGAGATATTCCTGTGCAAGTATGTAACTGTTATGAAAATAAAATGCTTAATTCTAAAGATTACAGAAGAGGTTACTTGAACAAGCCAAATGTTTATTATTAGTTAACATAATGGATTGATACTCAACTGTATTTCCAGTGTGCATTTATATTGTTAGTAACATACTGTCATGTTAACTTTTTTTATATGCTCTTAGAGGAGTGAAGAACTCACCAAGAGGGATGTCTATAGCAGTGACTACCGCTCCTAATGTGCTCTGAACAGCTTCTCCCACCTTCCTGGCGATCAGAGTCCCACCTTGCTCCTCTTCCAGCGCTGCATCCAGTAGTTCTGTGTGAGACCAGTCATAGTATGATATTATGGATTGAAATACTGCATGTTTGTCATAACATGTTGCACCCTTGTCTGACACCAAGTGTGTAGTACTTTCAAAATTATTCAAACTTGTGTAAATCATGCATTGTTCATGTTTTTTCACAGTATTTAGCAAGGCGTTATTTAAGATATTAATTATCTCTCTGATTTGCGTAAAAGCCTCACCTTTTAGCATAATTCTTCATTATTTTTAAAATTATTACAGTATGTACTAATACATACCTATCTATACACACATATACACACACGTGTACACACATATGTACATATATATATATATATATATATATACACACACACACACATATACATATATACACGTGTGTTTTTTGTTGAATTGGCCATTACAATACCCATAAAACAAACTTTTGCCCAGAACTACCTGCGAAGGAAGGAATCTCCTGGAACACAGAAAATGATGGATTGGCCCCTCAAAGTCTGGACTTCAACCCCATTGAGCAAATTTGGGGCGGGTTGGAAAATAAACTGGCCAGATCTATTGTACATTCAAAGGAAAGCCTTTGGCTTGAGTTGCAGAAGGCATAGGATAGCATTAGTGTTGAAGTTCTCAGGTAATCTACTGACACTATGCCAGAGAGATGTGCTGCTGTAATTGCTGCAAAAGGTTGACACTTGACATACCAAATATTAAAAGTTAAAAGCGGATAAAAACAGTACGACTCACTTCATCTGATATTTGTTGTGCTCAGAGCAACCATCTGCATGTTTCATGAACATTATGAAATGAAATCATGTTTTGGAGGCTAAAATTTTTTTTCTCTAATACACATTGGTAACAATTAATCACCCTTTTATCCAATACTTTTTGCAACCTCCTTTTGCCAAGATATCAGCTCTGAGTCTTCACCTATAATGCCTGAAGAGTTTAGAGAACATCTGACAGGAGATCAGAGACCATTCCTTCATCCAGAATCACTCCAGACCCTTCAGATTTCCAGCTGCATGTTGATGCTTCTCCTCTTCAGTTCACCACACTCATTTTCTATAGGGTTCAGCTCAGGGAACTGGGTTGGCCAGGGCAGAAGCCTGGTTTTGTTCTCTGACCCATTTTTGTTTTGATTTTAATGTTTGTTTGTGGATCATTGTCCTGTTGGAAGATCCAACCATGGCCCATTATAAGATTTCTAGCATGGACAGTCAGTTTAAACATTTTTTATACATTGGTATTTTATAGAATCCATTATGCCATCTATCTGAACAAGATATCCAGGATCTCCGGCAGAAAAACAGGCCCATAACATTAAAGATCCAGCAGTATATTTCATTGTACACATGGGGTACTTTTTTTTATCCCTGTGTGCACCAAACCCATCTCGAGTGTTTGCTGCTAAAAAGCTAATTTAATTAGTTTCATCTGATCATTGAACCCAGTCCCATTTAAAGTTCCAGTCGTGTCTAGCAAATAGATATGCTGGAGTTTGTTTTTGGATGAGAGTATTTTCTTTTCTAGTTTTTTTTTCTTGAAACCCTCCCAAACAACATTTTTTTTTTTTTTGGCTTTCTGACCCCAAGACTCAATTATTCTCTGCAGTTCTCCAGCTGTGATCCTTGGAGTCTTTGGCCACTCAAACTTTCCTCCTCACCGTGCATTAGGACAGTATATAGACACACGTCCTCTTACTGTATTAGAGAAAAATATATATAGTTTTTTACTCTAATTAAAGGTTAGATTTATTTTCTTTTTTAATTTTGAATGAAAGATCAAGTGGATAAACAAAGCAGATTTATTTTCACAGCCGCCTTTGATCATATTTATCAAGGGTATGAATAATTTTGAGCACATATTCTGTATATATTGTATATATTCTGGGATACCTTCTGGGATTCCTCTGTTTTGAAAGCAGGCATCACAGACTCGCACAGGCGCCAGGCCCCAACCTCTCTCAGGGACTGGCCGTGTCTTAGAGGAGCAACCATTACAGAAACCATCTCCACAAGCCCGACAGTGGTGCTTTGTATCATTATCTTGGAATTCCACTCCACAGTTTTTACATCTCTGGAAAAAGTTTGTGTTTTAGTGAAGACTTCTCTTCATTAAAAAAGCCACATTAAAATTGCCTAGCTAGCATTAAAACTCACAATGATGAGAGAATTGGGCTTCCAGTAAGCAGGGGCAATCTGGTCTGTTAACCAGGCAGTGACGGCTTTGGCAGGCTTGACGCTTAGCTCTGAAACAGATTGAGCCATATAGTTCACACCATCCAGCAGCCTCTGCGCAGCGTTGTTGTTGTCCTTCAGGAATCCATCGGACTGAGACGTAAATGTGAAAGTAAACAAAGCTTGTTCTTTTTGCTATTTAAATATTGATACGTGGGATAAACGGCAGATTACTCTCACCCCTGGCCAGACATGCTGGATCTCAGTCCGAACCACTGTATCAACAGGGTCCTGGTTCCCATACCAGTACTGCCTACTCCTATAGATCACCGAACAGTTTGGACACTCGATCACATATCTGCAAAGGAAAAAGCCCAACTAAGTCCTGTACATCTAAATGAACTGAACTAAATGAACCATTTATGAATATAATTCAATAACATGACTCACCCGGACCAGGCGTATATGGCCAAGCCAAACCATGGTGAGTCAGAGGATGCCGTCGTCTTTGGAACCACAATCACCTCTTTGCCACTCTCATAACAAGCCTGGAATAGCAGGTTTACACACATAATGTCAGACCTGGGCAGTCACAGAGCATGTGTCAGGGTCAGGTCATGTGTTTCATTGTTTATGTCTTACCTTGCAGGTATAGATGCGATTATCATAGTGGACTGAATAGCGACAGCGGTGTTTGGCCTCATGCGCCACACCCTCTCGTAGGTGATTCATGCTGTTTTTACAGCCTGAGCTAAAACAAAAACACCACAAAGTATTAGAATTACATTTGTTTAAAAATGTAATTCAGGACAGGCTTTAGGAGGGTGTAAATGCAAGGAATTTTCCACCTGCATTACAAGAGTCAAAACTAGTATCGTCAAACGTCTAATTACTAGTTTAGCCACCTTAGTGGAGCCATACAAATAACTCATTTGAACTGGTTCTTTTAAATGATTCTACCAAACCAGTTCTCGGTGTATGTAAATTACTCAATTGTAAAAATATAACTTTTTTTGGGAGTTAAAATATTTGTTTTACATGCTTAAATGTTGATCAGGCACCCTTTTTTTATTTTTGAACGATCATTTGAAGAGAATAGGCCCACATGGAATTTGAAAATGCAGAATTTAAATTCAAAGTTTTAACATAGAAGGCTCTAAAGTTCTTTGGCTAATTAAATCAATCTTATTACTATATTTCATTGATTTTTTTTCCCCCTCAAAATCAGCATAAAGATTCCATAAAAACAGTCACTGATTCCATATGATTCTTTGAACCAAATTGCTAAAATGACACTGTTATTTAACAAAAACTACTGATTAAAAGTTTGGGGTCAGTAAGATATATTTTTAAAGAAATTAATACTTTTATTCAGCAAGGATGCATTAAATTGATCAAAAGTGAAAGTTGGAGTAATGGCTGCTGAAGATTTAACTTTGCCATCACAGAAATAAATTACATTTTAAAATATACTACAATAAAAAAAACAGTCATTTTAAATTGTAATCATATTTCACAATATTACTGTTTGTACTGTTTTTTGGGTTTTTTTTCATTAAAGGGGATGCGATTTCAATTTTTCCTTTCTCTTTGGAGTGTTACAAGCTCTTGGTGCATAAAGAAGATCTGTAAAGTTGCAAAGACTAAAGTCTCAAATCCAAAGAGATATTCTTTATGAAAGTTAAGAGTCAGCCACGCCTACCTAAAACGGCTCGTTCTAACACGCCCCCACATACCTACGTCGCTATGTGGGAAGATTTGCATAACGCCGCCCAAATGTTCACGCAAAGAAAGAAGGCATAACTTTTATTCTCGCTGTAGTATTATTTTTACAGTATTTTATATTTACAGCCATGTCGTGAAGACGCTGTGTTTCGTTGTGAAAGCGAAACTACTTTGTTTGGGACCCCTTTAAATAAAAACAACTTTGGCGTACTTAAAGGGGACCTATTATGCTCTTTTACAAAGTATTGATTTTGTTTTGGGTGTGTACTAGAACAGGCTCTCATACTAGGTTGTTCGAAAAACACATTATT